TCTCCCAAGAGATATTAATGGAGATATTAAGGGAAATAATCCACTGTGTTTCCCTGTAATGCTTTAAAATATCCCACAGCATCTGCTTTAGGGAAGCAAAGTGTTTCTTCCATTGTGATTTCATATGCTTTTTGAGTTCAAACCGAACTGCTTTTTTTTCCCTAAAAATAGTTTCGTTTTGGATTTTTTTTTGCTTCTATTAACAAGTTTAGGTTTGTGAATATATAATAATTTTCTACTTTCTAGTTTATATTTCCTATTTGTGAAAAAATGAGCATAATTGTTGCATCCATTAGTTTTAAAATTTGAATTCACATGGAGAAATGATAATACAGTATAGCTGCTAGGGGCACTGATTCTAGAGTTAGCCCGCATGGATGTTAATCCTGGGTCTGCCACTTACTAGCTATGGGACTGTGGGCAAGTCATTTGACCCCTGAAGACTTTAGTGTATCATTTATAAACTAGAGCCTACAATAATAACTACCACACAGAATTGTTGAGACCTGGATTAATAGTAAAGCAATTAGAATAGCTCTGGGCACATTGAAAACACTATTTGGGTATTAAATAGTATTGAGTAAAATAGCATAAGTTAGCTGTAACCTGGACTTTGTGTTTTTATTTCTCATCTGTGAAATGGAGAGATCTTTATTTAGCTCAGAGGGATAGGTGCATGTTATTGAAATGTCTGTAATAACTGTTCCTTGAAAGTTCTTCAAAAGAAACTTGGTAGAAGTTTCCGTTTACCATTATAATTATCAGTATAATCACAATGTATTTTCCATAGGAAAAAAAAACCCTCTCAACTAATACATATCATAGGTTTTGATTGAACACTTTACTTTTTTTGCACCTTTGTCCTAGATAGAAAGGGTAGCTTTTTCGTGGGAGAAGATACCAGATTAATCACTGCGACTCCATTGCTCTTGACATAATAATCCATATAAATTACCTGCATGGTATTAAGAAAATAATTTGTATAATCTGTGATGTAGGAAATCAATTGTTTCATTATTTATCAGCCATTGTGCAATTTTTATTTAATTTGGTTTGTTGTACATTATTTTGCTGCTCTATTAACTTAATGATTTGAGCAATTATTTATAGTTTGTGATATGAGGCAATAGATTTAGAGGATATTATTAGATAATTTATGATAAAATGATGTTTATGAACATTATAGAGAATTCTACTATTTTAATTTAATGCTGTTTACAGTTTATAATAAATTTATATTCTACAAAGTTTGTATCTTACAATTACATATGTAACTTTCCATTGACAACTGTATATTAACTTTTTGTTGACAGAGAGGTATAGTAGGTATCAATGTTATTTAATATAGAGTAACTAGCTGATAGCACCCATAGCCTTCAATTTCTTCATTTATTGATGGAGATACTTTACTGTTGCTGGAAGATTCTAACGTCAGGTGAAGAAAATAAAATAAGTGATTTGATGTTCTACCACTGTTTATTTTCTCATGACAACTGCTAATTACAAATCTTCTACTAATCTTTCAGCTCTTAGAAATTACTCATTGATGTCTTTGTCCTGACTTTATAGCACATCCTTCTCATCATACCAGGACTTACATTTTCAACTGTTATGTTTATGTGCATTTGCTTATGTGGATTTCCCAGATCACTTCCCTCTAGGTATATAGATTGGGCCAACCTAATGCTAATAAAAGTTTCTCCAGAGGAAAACAGACTACAGGTGCATGCTCTTATTTGCAATTCTTATTCCTAAATCTTTGAGAACTAAAAAAAAACAAAAAACAACCTAATAATTGGCAAATCTGACCTGAATTGATATGAAATTAATTCGTTGTCTTTATCTGGTTTACTATGAATATATATACACTCCACTACAGAAATATTAATGGTTTGTTTATGGGGTGCTATCCCAAATTCTAGTAGAGATGTTACACAGGGTGGGGCAGACATAGGTTTAGTGCACGAGGCACAGCTTCTTCTTGTATTATTATTTATTAATTATTATATTATTTTTCAGATGAACAACTGTAAACCTACATTTTTCCTACTGTGCATACACCATATTCACTATATTGTTCTAAAATTCTGGAAAATTCATGTATTCTGAAATACATTTGGCTGCAAAACTTGAATGTGACCTGTAATCTTGATTGCTTTTGATGTTCTGTAATCATAAGCACTGTGTTGTTAAGAATATAAGATTTATAATCTAGTTATGAATGTTAATCTTTAACTTTTTCTTTTAGATTACCTAGAGTTTTTTTTAATGTACTTTATTGATTGTGCTATTACAGTTGTCCCAGTTTTCCTACTTTGTCCCCCTCCACCCAATACCCCCATTCCTTCCAGCAATCCCTCCTGCCTTAGTTCATGTCCATAGGTCATGAATGTAAGATCCTTGGCTACTCCATTTCCTATGCTGTTCTTAACATCCCCCTGTATGTTTTGTACCTACCAATTTGTACTTCCTAATCTCTGCACCTTTTCCCTCATTCACTTCCCTCTTCCTCCCAGGTGATAATCCTCCATGTGATCTCCATTTCTGTGATTCTGTTTCTGTTCTGCTTGTTTGCTTAGTTTGTTTTTTAGATTCAATTATTGATAGTTGTGAATTTATTGCCATTTTGGTGTTTATAGTTTTGATCTTTTTCCTATATAATTCCCTTTAACATTTCATATAATAATGGTTTGGTGATAATGAACTCCTTTAGTTTTACCTTGTCTGGCTGGGAAGCACTTTATCCGCCCTTCCATTCTAAATGATAGCTTTGCTGGGCAGAGTAATCTAGGTTGTAGGTTCTTGATTTTCATCACTTTGAATACTTCTTGCCAGTCCCTTCTAGCCTGCAAAGTTTCTTTTGAGAAATTGGTTGACAGTCTTATGGGAGCTCCTTTGTAGGTAACTATCTGCTTTTCTCTTTTTGCTTTTAAGATTCTCTCTTTATCTTTAACCTTTTGCATTTTAATTATGATGTGTCTTGGTGTGGTCCACTTTGGATCCATCTTGTTTGGGGGTCTCTGTGCTTTCTGGACTTGTATATCTATTTACTTCACCAAAGTAGGGAAGTTTACTTTCATTATTTTTCAAATAAGTTTTCAAGTTCTTGCTCTTTCTCTTCTCTTTCTGACACCCTTATGATTCAAATGTTGACATATTTGAAGTTGTCTCAGAGGCTTCTTAGCCTATCCTCTTTTTTTATTATTATTTTTTCTTCTTGCTGTTTTCATTGAATGCTTTTTTCCTTTCTTATGGCCAAATTAAGGAGACAAAGAAATATGGCCAAATGAAAGAACAGAACATAACTCCAGAAGAAGAACTGAATGAAATGGAGATGAGCAACCTATCAGATACAGAGTTCAAAGCACTGGACTTGAGCACTGTTATCAGGATGCTCAAGGAACTCATTGGGTACTTCAATAGCATGAAAAAGACTCAGGCAGAAATGAAGGTTACATTAAGTGAAATAAAGTAAAGTCTACAGGGAACCAACAGTAGAGGGGATGAAGCTGAGAAACACCAATTCAAAAGAACCTGTGCACCCCAATGTTCATAGCAGCACAATTCACAATAGCCAAGTTCTGAAGCAACCTGTGTGCCCATCATTAAATGAATGCATCAAAAAACTATGGTACATTTACACAATGGAATAATACGGAGCAGAAAGAAAGAAGGAGCTCCTTCCTCTTGCGACAGCTTGCATGGACCTGGAGAACATTATGCTAAGTGAAATAAGCCAGGTGGTGAAAGGCAAATACCATATGGTCTCACCTATAAGTGGAACCTAGTCAATAAAACAAGCAAGCAAATATAACCAGAGACATTGAAATTAAGAACAAACTGACAGTAACCAGAGGGGAAGTGGGAGGTTATAATGGGGGGAAAAGGGAGGAAGGGTATTCAGGAACATGTATAAAGGACACATAGACAAAACCAAAGGAGGGTGAATCGAGGGTGGAAGGTGGGGATGGCTGGGATGGGGGGAGTGGTGGTAGGAAAATGGAAACAACTGTATTTGCAAAACAATAAAAAAATAAAAATAAGAAAATTAAAAAATCAATGATATGAACATAGATCTCATATAGCTTTAATACATCAGTAAATATTATAATTAATGGTTACAACATCCTTGAACCAAATAATTATTGGTGATGTGGATGCCAGATTCTCATATAGCATGTTTTTGAGAAATATTTGACTGGTTGCCCTGGCTTGTATTGTTCAATTGGTTGGAGTGTTGTCGCTTAAACTAAAAGGTCGCAGGTTTGGTTTCTGGTCAGGGCACAATTCTGGGTTGCAGGTTTGGTTTCCAGTCAGGCACTGGCGAGAGGCAACAGATTGATGTTTCTCTCACATTGATGTTTCTCTCCCTTCTTCTCTAAACATGTCTTCAAGTGAGCATTTTATAAAAAGAAATAATTGACTACCTTTACACATTAATTACAAAAATTAATGATGAATTCCAAAATAACATGAGCCATGCCCTGGGTGGTGTGGCTTGGTTGGTTGTAGCGTCTTCCTGTCGATCAAAAGGACGCAAGTTCAATTCCTGTCAGGGTACATGCCCAGGTTGTGGTTTCCTGACCAGGACATGTGTGAGAAGGCAACCAATCTGTTTTTGTCTGTCTGTCTCTCTCTCTCCCTTCCTCTTTTCCTAAAAACAATGAGAAAAGTCCTCAGGTGAGGATGAAAAGGAATTAACATGAGCTACATAAACAGGTTTCTAGTATGTGAGTACAATGGCTCTTTATAGGATGTCTTGTCATACTAACATCATATGTTGCTTCTATATTCAGTCCTTTGGGTGAGGCTTTATGACCCCCTCCCCATTTTTCCTCTTCAGTCTGGGAGAAGAAATATTTTTATGTGGATCACACTGTTTTAATAGTATAATTTCTCATGTAGGATATATATACACATTTCTAGGCACACAACATTTTAATGAGAGATGTTAATACTAATTTGCTTGTAAAAGTCTAACTTTTAACTATTATTTTTAGGTATTTACTTCCGAGCAGTACACAATTCTTCATGAAAACACCAACCTACAACTTGAAGTACAGTTCACCTGGAATGACTCGTTCCAATGTTTTGTTTACATCCCGATACGGCCATTTGTGAAGTAGAAGGGAAGATCACCAGGCGTTATGCATAAGAGCAATTCATGCAATTTAAACATGCAAAGGAAGTAACCATTAAGTGCTGTTTTATGTATATATGACATATATATGTGTGAAATATAGACACACATTTACTCAAATAACATGTATATTTATTATAATACATAAAAGAAGAATTAGCAGAAAACTTGGATATATAAAACTTAACCTTTCTGGAAATGTAATAAAACATGTTAATATTGTTTACAAATATGTGAATGTCTAGAATTTGCCAGGTTTATAAATACCTTCCTACTAGAAATGTTATTTTTGCTGCAGAGTATATGAAACAGAATTGATCTTGAAGATCCCATAACAGTGTTAAATTATTTTCTAGATGACATGTCTTTGACTTAAAAAAACATTAATAGTATAATACCTTATTCTCTTATGTATATAGTAGCCATATAAAATGAAGAAAAATTAGAAGCCTGGTGTTGCTTTGATGGTAGGATTAATTATGAAACGGGTTTATCATTACTATAGTACACTGTAAAGTGCTATGAAAATCTCAGCCTAATTCTTCAACATTTTTATTCCTCTATGTGCAAATTTAGCTATGTATGATAATGTAAATTTTCAGTAAGGATCTAGTGAGATCCTATTCTGATCTAAAATGGAAGACAATCCAGTGGGTTAAGAATAAATAAAATATAAATTAAATTCGCTTTCATTTTTACTTTTCATTGGGAGTTACATAAAGGAAGAAAAGATGACAATGACAAAATCTTCTCATGATTTTTGCATCTCATACCACTCATTTTTATTTGGAAAGTGTATTTCCAATGGGTGTACACAGTCAAATACAGTTTTTCCTGTTCTTCAGAAGTGGAAGAGTTGACCTTTCAAACTCATATCGGTGTTACATGGTAATGTGTCACACTTGTTTTATGTCTTTCAATGTTGAGACCAAATTAAACTGTAGTCTAGCCCAGTTGCACATTGTGCCGTAGAAAATAATCTACAGTATTGCAAATAGAAGATTCTGACTACTGGATATTATCAGTTAGGGTGTACCCTTAAGAATTTAAAAATATCAAAAAGTATGAGGTTTCTTCTTGTTCAAAGTTAATATGCATAACTTTCATAGGAGTTTATTTCCATTTCTTGAGCCCTGGCTGGTGTGGCTCAGTGGATTGAGGGCCAGCCTGTGAACCAAAAGGTCATTGGTTCAATTCCCAGTCAGGGCACATCCCTGGGTTGTGGGCCTGGTCCCCAGTTGGGTACATGCGAGAGGCAACTGATTGATGTATATCTCACACATCGATGCTTCTTATTCTCTCTTTCTCCCTCCCTTCCCCGCTCTGTAAAAGTAAATAAATAAAATCTTAAAAAAAAAAAAAAACAATGAGCTTTCAGCTTTCCATGAAAATATACACTGTCATTGATATGGGAATCCTTAGAAATTGCAGTATTTACTTTTTACAATTTTGTTTCAACTTCTCTGCCACATTTTATTTTCTCACAGATGCTAATTATCTGCAAAATTTATGATCATTTTACATCCCTTTATTGTCCTAAATGCTATTTCTAGTAAATCAAGCCCAAAGATGGAAAACTGAGGGAAGCAAACTATCCTGGTTTAATTCACAAGCTGGATAATTGGCAACCCAAAGTTGTTAGTTAGATATACTTTGTTTTTAAAACCATATGCTGAGTCTTTGTTAGACTAGATTAGGTTGTTCTCTAATTATGGCTAGTTACTTGATTGTTTATGACTATTTAACACCCATATTCTGGTAGGCACTTCTTCTTGCTAGATGACCCCAAAGAAGAACTTGTTATTGTCTTTGTGAAAAGAGCATAAGGATGTCAAGATAAAGGAAATTACTGCATGACTCTGAATGTTTCTGACTCCGTTTTGTGAATTCTTAAGCATATGTTATAGATTTCTTAGAATAAATAATGAAAAAAATGGGGATATTACAAAATCATTATAAGAATGATCAGCAAATAGGCCTTTTTAAGGAGTATTTCTAGTCTCTTTTCTTTTAAAATCGCACTTTCCCATGAATGAGACACAATTTCAAGTGTCTGGTATATGATATTAATGCTTTTTGTTGGTTGCTAACTTACATTACTTTAAATAAAACATGGTTATTTAATTTGCTAGAGTGGATGCTTTTGAACTTTAGTCCTACATTGTGCAAGAGTGTATTTTTATTTAAAACAAAAAAAGAAGAATGTCCAATTTGGGGGTGCACCCTCTCCCCCTAGGAATACACAGCACACACACATACACTCAAAGCATTTTAAAACCAAGAGTAAATTTAAGTATATGAACTATCCAAATAATTGATGAAAAATTTCATTTCTCTAGCTACTTAAGTCTGCCCTTTTTTTTGAACACTAGAATTTCATTGCTCACATTTGCCTATTTATACTGATCTAGTTTGATATGATAAAGATGAGAAAAGCCATGTATTAATAATTATGTATACTATGGGGTATGCATGGTCTGTGGTTGCTGTGGTGCTTTTCACCTAATGAGAACCTAAGGAGGGAAGACACAGTAATAAACTGTGGAAGTCTCTAGAGGCCACGGAAATGTTTTAGAGGTTTTGGAAACATAATCCTTAGTTTCTATTATAATTTTTTAATTAACAGGGTTAAAACATATCAGTGTAAGTGATGGTGTGGGTCTGACTCTCTTTCTCTTTCCCCTGAGAGAGAGAGTAGCTTTATCTGAAAAATCCAGAAGCTATTCAATTTACCAGGAGTTTTTAAAGGGAATTTGGTTTACTTATGATGAAAGTATATTTTTATTCTGTTAAGAAAGTATCCCTGATAATTCTGTAAATCTAAGATTAGAATGCTTCCTAGAAATGTATATGATTAGAATGATTTTCAGAATTGTACAAAAAAACAATCTTTTTACTTTAAATCATCTATGAACACAGTTTGTGATGCAGATTAGTTTTCACTTTAATAATATAACATTGTAGACTGGTTGCCATTTGTAATCTGTTGAAGGAAATATTGTGATTCTTATCATGGTTATTTTTACTAGGTTTTATTTTACTAGCAGTTATTTATCTTGCTTGCATAAAAATAAAGTTCTGACAGAATCAGATAAAGAAATGCTAACAGTAACCTCTGCTAGAACATAGTTGAATATCTCTGGTTATCTACAAGATGCAAAAACTCATACACATTTTTTGTAGTGCTAAATACACAAAAAGTTGCCACTAACTCCTTTTCCCTAAAACTAACATGAACTAAACTAAAAGAAAAAAAATCCCAGTAGTTACAGCTAAATGACAGTAGTTTCTAGACATCAAGAAAAGATTTCATCCTAATTCTCTTTTTAACTTGGGAAGTATATAATTATAGAATTTTGTTATCTAACTGGAAATTTAAGATGGTTTCATATAAATTAATACAAATGTATTTTTCTTTAAGCCATTCTATTTAAAAATTCTCTTTAAATTTAAACATACACATTTCTTGACCTTTACAAAATACCAAAAAGTTAATAGTTGCATAAATGCTATTATTTCTGTTGGGCATTGATTCATTCTTAAATGTAAATTCTTCAAAAAAATAGCAGATACCTCGAGAAGAATGACAGAAAATACGTTTTTGTTTTGCTGTCTAATTCTGATTTATATTTTGTCTTAACTTGAATATGCGTGTTAAACAATAAAAAGTATAACTACAATTAATGTGTTTCTGTGACTTGATAATTATTAAAAATTTGCTTTCCTCTTTAAACTAAGAGATTTAAACTTTCAAGAACTGAATTAGTTATCTAAATATTTTGGCAAATATTATAAATAAATTAAAAATTTAGGAATATACTAATGATCAAAATTTTATTCCTCACTTCTTCCTTCTTCTCTTCCTTCATTCCTTGCTTCCTTTCTTCCTCCTTTTAAACTTTAAGTTCTCTTGGAAGTTTTGACCTTTGCATGGGAAAAGTCAGAAAAAGAGAAACCCTGCCTTGTTTTTGCGTCAGCTACAAGAAAAGATAATGTGATTGGATCTAGTTCAGTTTGTGTGCTGAGATTTTTAGGAATCAGGTTGAAGTCTCTATGCCTAAAAAGCGTTAATTGTATGGATCCACGTGAACCCAGGTACATGGCTACAAATAACAGGCTTGAAAACAAATATTGGTGTCTTAAAACTTATTTCACACTTTGAGATTATGCCCTGTGTGTGTGTGTGTGTGTGTGTGTGTGTGTGTATTTTTTACATTGTCGTGAGTAAGTGTATGGTGTATTGAAGGAAAACCATTCAGATAACACATTCTGTATTAACTGGGCTGTATTATCTAACAATTGCTACGTATGGCTTTTATTTTTCCTACCAACGAACTTGAAAACTATTGGTATAGTCATCATTCAATAGACCAATATTTTCAAAATTGGTAAGAACTACCTTTCAGAAATAATCAGATAGTGCTGATATCTCTCATTCAAAGCCAAGCAATGGCAGTTCCTGGTCTTGAGCTGCTCAGTTCATGCAGTAACTACTGTTCTTGCTACAGCACCGAACATTAATAGATTTGCTGAAGATTCTGGGTTTGAAGATTAACTTGAAAGCAATGTTTGCTACCATGAATCATGACTCATATTACCCTCCTCTGCTTTACTACCTGTATATAAATGCAAATGTTGTTACAGAAAATATGCTTAAAATGTCCACACAATGTGCAATTAGTATGACAGTGTCATGTTTCAGCATGTGATATCTGTACGTTGAAATTATTTCAATTACTCATATGTTACTGTAATAAAAACGTTTAACATAAGAAAGCTACAATATGTCATCAAATGATTATTTCCTTTTACACACAGTGTTTTTCACATTAAAAAATTGGCTCCCAATTAAGCATTCAGTGTGATGAAGTATATTTTCACAGTAACTCTCTTCTGCTGTACAGACAGCAATAGCACTATGGGGATGGCTTTACCTGCTATTAAAGTCGGGTCGAATAAACAAAACCAGTGTCAATTTCTGAGCTAGAAGGCACACTTGCCTAAAATTTAGAAGTGATACTTATATATCCTTCTACCATCATCACTTACAACAGTATTACAAATTTGAATAGAATTATGTCAGCATCTCAGCTATGAAGTTCATTTTGGGGGGAATTTATAGTTTCAATTGTATTAAAACATACAAGAAGCATGTTCTAGTCATTGCCATGCATACCATTTTTAAGATGCTTATATATAAAGAAATTAGAATATTTTTCCTTTAAAGAAAGTACTTTGCATAAAAATCCTATTATTTGGTAGGGACATTAATGCATGTATTTTAAAAATTTTGTTACTATTTTATAAGTTAAAATTATTGTATGAAAGCTCAAAGTTGAATTTTTAATTTGTTTTTTCTTTTCAGTGACAGAAGGTGAGACCAAAGTGGGTAGTTTGGTATCTCCCTGTTTTATTAAATAATTTGTAAAATTAAAAAAAATATATATATACATATAATTTGGGGCCCTGGCTGGTGTGGCTCAGTGGATTGAGTACTGGCCTGTGGATGAAAGGGTCGCTGGTTTGATTCCCAGTCAGGGCGTATGCCTGGGTTGCAGGCCAGGTCCCCAATAAGGGGCACGTGAGAGACAACCACACATTGATGTTTCTCTCACTCTCTTTCTCTCTACCTTCCCCTCTCTAAAATAAATAAATAAAATATTTAAAAAATATATAATTTTATTCAATTAAATTACTGAAAATATAAAAAATCACCCCCCAGATAATTTCAAGTGTTACATAACTTCATACAGTGCCTTAAAACAAAATTAATATTTAACTCTTCTGTAGAAATATAATAGATCTTTAATTTGGAGAATGTTATCTCAATAATTACTCATGTATATGTAGAATAATGGTGACAACAATGCCCATCCCCATGGTCAGGTCAATTTGGAAAACATTGGGTGGAGGAATTGAAATGTGTTTCTCTATTTACTGGACCTCTCTGAGTCTTTGGTATTCTAAGATGCACAGAGTCTCCCGCGAGGGACTAGAATGGGCACAAGTCCATAATTGAATCTCATCTTCTATTGCAACCCTTCTCTGAGGGCCAGTCTTTTATTGACCAGACTTTGGAAAACACCAGCTGAAACCAATTCATTCACTAATAATATGATTATTTATAACACTTATATACCTGTGGTATAATTATGAACACTGACAAATCTAGTGCAAGGATTTATTTATACTTGTAACTTGAGAATTTAGTCATTTCCAG